GTGGTGAACATGATGTAATCTATGCAGAAATAGAAGTATAATGATGTACACCTGAAATTTATACAATGTTATAAACCAATGTTACTGCAATAAACAAATTAAAAAAATAAAAAATAAAAGAGGGCTCAAAAGATTAGAATCTGTTCAAAATATTTCTTTTCTTGGCTTCTTTGTTCCAACTGAAGTAAGCTGCCCATGGTGTGATAGCTATTCCAATATGCTTTCTTCCAAGGTGCCACAATACACAAGTCTGACATACCCAAGAAACCAAAGGCCACTGCAGCTCAAGATTGTACTTACTGAAATCATGCCACTTTGAGAGGAAATTAATAGAGGTAGGACTTTCATGGCAGACCATATATCTAGAGCAAATCTGGCCAGGCGTTTGGGTAGTCCAGGAGTTTCCTCTAGCGAAAGAAGTCTGAGATAGAAGGAGGGATTTGCTCTCCCTTAGGAAAAATGCCTAATTCTCTGCTCATCCAAAGAACTCCAAAAAACAAAAGGAAAATACTGACATTGGTCTGACAAAAGGTTGACCTACAAAAAGAATCACAGCCTGCAACCTCCATGCTATGTAAAGGGCAGAGAACAGGAGGAGGACTTACCTCCCCACCCAACGAAATTGGGGTTCTTGGATATATGCTGTTCTTGACCTGACCAGGCAGTGTTGGGTGTTTGTCCAACCTCTCTCAAGTAATGGCACCAAATTACAAAAAAAAATCTTGATTTTTTTTTGAGTCATTTATGTGACTCAAATAGAGGTTAAAGGCTTCATTCAGTTGAGGCGTATCAGGGAATACCTGAAGACCAGGTGACTACGCAACTGAACCAGGATTAGAGTTTTTATAAGATAGGAAGGATTTGAGTAACTGTCCTGTATTTTAACTTTAGGGGCAGTTTCACCTTTAACGAAAACTTGTAGCTTGGGGTTGTTCCTGTTTTCCTGCCCCTTGTTTGGAGTCCCTATAACCAATGGAACAGTATTTCTGAGAACTATCTTTGCAAGCCTTGTGGTAATTTTAGATAGTCATGGGGTGTGGGAGGTATAAAGCCAAAAAGAAAGAAAACAGGCAGAGCAGAAGGTAAGGGGAAACCAGAGACTCTCTATATTGTTTGTTTAAAATCTTTTGCACCTTTATCCTCAAGGAGTCTAAGATCTTCTCAGGTCGAGATTGCTGCACAAGGGCATTCACAGTTACCATTGCCCAAGGGAGTTGCATGTGGCTCCCAGGTTCCACATATAATCCTCCATGCCTCTACTGAGGATTAGCAGCCTTATGTCCCCCTACTACTCAGGGTCAAATTACTCCATCCAAAATGGTGACTCCTCTTCTCCACTGGCTGGTCCTTGGACGCAAGATATCTGAGGTGCCTTGATGGCAGTTGTAGCTTGCAGGTCTGTGGGACTCAGACTGTGTCCCTGGCAAAAGTGCACTCCCTGTGGACCAAGACCTATAATCCTGGAGAACACACAGTTGCAGGGAGGGCAAGCAGAAGAACCACCAGTGGATCATTAAGAGTGATGGTAAGCAGGGCCACGCAACTTCTACTCCTTGGTTCCTGGTCCCATATATTCTTCGTAATGGATAAACAGTACCATATAGCGGTCTTTGATTTAAAATACACACTGTACCATGAAGGATGGCATTATATCCTTCCAGAGTATTGTTTCTGAGCTGGCATTTTTCTGTGTCTTCAGTAGGCCATTGCAGCATAGTATGAGGATAGTTGCTAGTGAATATTGATATGTGATGCAAACAACGGATTCCATTGGGATGGACCCATCCCTGTACCTCATTCACCGAAGAATGAGTTATCTGTTCACATGCTGAGTCATGTGGGATTCCATGGTTAAACATCATGTGCTTCATGAGTAAGCCCCCAAGAGTGGTGCTGGCTGTGGCTCTGCAGGCAGAAAAGGCGATTTATCACAACTAGAATAGATATCTATTCTTGCGAGGACTAATTGCTGGTCCTTCCAGGATGGAAGGGGCCCAATGTAGTCGACTTCCCACCAATTAGCTGCTAGGTTTTCTTGAGGAATAGCAACTTAGCAGGAGCTCAACATTGGTCTTTGTTGTTGGCAAGTTGGACATGTAGAGAGAGCAGTACCTTGATTGACTCCATTGGCAAGTGAGAGTCCATGCTATTGAGCCCAATGTAGCCACTACCTCTGCCACCATGGCCACTCTGTTCATGTGCCCATTGTGCCATTTCCAGGGTGGTCAATGCTGAAGTTTGTCTAATGTTGACTGGCCAAGTCATTTTGTCTGCTTGGTTTTTCAGGGCCTCTTTCAGGGTGGATGCTTCTTGGTAGGCATGAAGCTGTACTACCAAAAACTTCACCCTTCCTGACTACTGCTATATCTGCAGGCACGGATCTCTACCCTATACCACCTTTTCTCTGACTCTCTAGTCCTTTTTATTTCAGGCCCCTGACCAGTTGGTAAAACCCTTGGCCACCTGAGGTGGTCTCATTTGAGGCCCACCTTGGGCCAGTCATCCTTCCACACAGGGTTGATGACCAAGCGCACTAGCCATAACTCTGCCCAAGACAATGATTTTATTCCCTTTGCTCTCTTGTTAGTCATCTCTGAAGAGGAATGTTATGCAGTCATCTTCCATGTTAGGTTTGAATCCACATATCAAGCCTACCCATTCATGCACCAATTTCAGGCATTTTAGTGCTCCTTCAGCTGGCTTAACAAAACCCCCACGTGGGCATATCTGCAAGCTGAGTGAAGTGCACTGGTGAAACCATGGTGAGTGAGATGGTGACTTCAACTACATGCTCATACAGCTTTTCACGTGTGTTCTCCTCTCATATGAGCTTGAAATTAGATGTTCTATTTGGATCTTACTGTGAGTTGCTGCCAGATTCGTCTCACTTTATGGCTTGGCAGAACCAAAAGGACCTAGCTTATACTGGATGATTCAGGGTACATGCTCATTTGGAGCCCCATGGTCAAAAACCCATTTTGCCCAGGGCGCCATAACACACCAAGAGTTGTTTCTCGATAGGCAGATGGCATAGCCTTATTGCAAATCCTTGGGGCTTGCACTGTGATTCTCCTTCTGGGGCTTGCCACAAGCATCACACCGCATCTTTTCCCATCACTGGTACCCCCACAGGGTCAAAGACATCCGATGTGCCAGATTTTATGTCCCAAGTGATGGCGTCTGCTTATACCACGGCCTGGACCTACAGCAAGGCCCTTTCTTGCCCTGGGTCCCACTCAAAGATGACTACCTTCATTATCCTCCAGTATGTGGGCCAGCATAGTATTCACAGCTGTGAAATATTTGCTTCAACTACCCAAAGGGGCATATGCCAGGCACCACCTTCCTTCTGGTAGGGAATACAAGATAAAACAATCTGCCTTTACTCTGAGGGTATGTCCCAACATGACCTTAACCACTGTACCCCTAAATACTCTAATAATGTGGCATGTCCCTGAATCTTTGTAGGGTTTATCTCCCACTCTTGGAGTGTAGGTCTCCTAATAAGACCACCAATAAACGAACCAACTCACGTTCACCGTGACCACAAGCGTGATACAGTTGATATAATTAATCGGTACAATGTTTTCTGGATGTTCAGACAATCTAGATCTATTCAGATAATATGATGCCAGAGGCGGGAGAGTAAACATAGCCCTGGGGACAAAGCTATGAATGTGGAAATAAAAGGGATGCAAATTGGAAAGGAAGAGGTAAAACTGTCACTATTTGCAGATGACGTGATTCTATATATAGAAAACCCTAAAGACTTCGGCAGAAAACAGAACTAGGAAACAAATTCAGTGAAGTTGCAGGATAAAAAATAAATATACAAAAATCTGTTGCATTTCTATACACTAATAATGAACTATCAGAAAGAGAAATTAAGAAAAAAATCCCTTTTACAAGCATTAAAAAGCATAAAATACCTAGGAATAAATTTAACCGAGGTGGTGAAAGACCCACACATTGAAAATTGTAAGGCATAAGGAAAGAACCTGAAGAAGACACAAGTAAATGGAAAGATATTCTGTGCTCATGGGTTGGAAGAATTAATATTCTTAAAATGTCCATACTATCCAAAGCTATCTACAGATTCAATGCAATCGTTATCTAAACTCCAATGGCGCTGTTTTCACAGAAATAAAACAAACAATCCTAAAATGTGTATGGAACCACAAAAGACCCCGAATACCTGGAACAATCTCGAGAAAGAAGAATAAATCTAAAGGCATCATGCTTCCTGATTTCAAATTATATTACAAAGCTATAGTAATCAAAACAGTATGATATTGGTGTAAAGATAGACACATACATCAATGGAACAGAATATAGAGCCCAGAAAAAAACCCACACATACGTGGTCAATTAATTTATGACAAAGAAGCCAAGAATATACAATGGGGAAAAGATGGTCTCTTCAACAAATGGTTTTAGAAAAACTGAAAGCCACAAGCCAAAGAATGAAACTTGACCACTATCTTATACCACACACAAAAATGAACTCACAATGGATTAAAGACTTGACTGTAAGCCCTGAAACTATAAAACTCCTGGAAGAAAACATAGGTGGTAAGCTCCTTGACATTGGTCTTGGCGATGAGTTTTGGGATCTGACACCCAAAGCAAAGGCAGCAAAACCAAAAATAAACAAGTGGGACTGCATCAAACTAAAAAGCTTCTGCACAGCAAAAGAAACAGTCAACAAAATGAAAAAGCAACCTACTGAATGAGAGAAAATATTTCCAAATCATAATCTGATAAGAGGTTAATACCAAAATGTATAAAGAACTCATACAACTCAATAGGAAAAACCCACAATCCAATTAAAAAATGGGCAGAAGATCTGAATAGACGTTTTTCCAAAGAAGACATACAGATGGCCAACAGACACATGAAAAGATGTTCAACATCACTAATCATCAGGGAAATGAAAATCAAAACTACAATGAGATGTCACCTCATACTTGTTAGAATGGCTATAATCAAAAAGACAAGAAGTGACAAGTGTTGCGGAGGATGTGGAAAAAAAGGAATCCTTGTGCACTCTTGGTAGGAATGTAAATTGGTGCAGCCACTATGGAAAACAGCATGGAGGTTCCTCAAAAAATTAGAAATAGAACTACCATATGAACCCGGCAATTCCACTTGTGGGTATTTACCTGAAGAAAACAAAAACACCAACTCAAAAAGATATATGCATTCCCACGTTCAATGCAGCATTACTTGTGATAGCCAATATATGGAAACAACCTCAGTGTCCATTGATGGATGAATGGATAAAGAAAATGTGGCATATATATATATATATATATATATATATATACACACACACACACACACAATGGAATGTTATTCAGCCATTAAAAAAAATGAAATCTTGCCATTTGCAAAAATATGGATGGACCTTAAGGGCATTACGCTAAGTGAAATAAGTCAGAGACAAAGCCAAATACCGTATGATCTCACTTATGTGTGGACTCTAAAAACAAACAAACAAAAAGACAAAGAAAGAAAAAAACAAACAAAAGCCCCTCAACAACCAAGCTCATAAATACAGAGAACAGACTGGTGGTTATCAGAAGCTGGGGGGTGGGGACTGGGGGAAATGTGTGAAGGGGGTCAAAAAGTACAAACTTCCAGTCATAAAATAAATAAGCCATGGGGGTATACTGTACAGCATGGTGATTATAGTTAATACTACTGTATTGCATATTTGAAAGTTGCTTAGAGAGTGGATTTTACAAGTTCTCATCACAAGAAAAAAACATTTTGTAACTGTATGGTGACGAATGTTAACTAAACTTATTGTGGTGATCATTTTGCAGTATATACGAACGTTGAATCATTACGTTGTACACCTGAAACTAATATAATATGTCAATTATACCTCAATTAAAAAAGCAGTAAGACATGACAATGTTAAATTTGTATACTTCCAATAACATAGCTTCAAACGATATGAAGCAAAAATGGAAAGAATTAAAAAGAGAAATAAGAAAATCAACAGTCAAAATGAGAGATTGTAATACACTTCACTCAACAGCTGGAAGATCACACAGACAAACTTGTGTAAGGAGATAAACCATTTGAACCATAATAATATTAATAATGCAACCTAATTGGCATTTATAGAGCATCTCTCTCCAATCACCCAGATTGCAGAATACATATTATTTTCCAGTCCGTTTGTCACATGTATCAAAACAGATCATATTGCAGGCCTTAATGCAAGTCTCAACAAATTTCGAAGGATTAATTGTACAGAGTTTATTCTCTGACCAGAGAGGAATTAAACTAGAAATAACCAACAAATATAACTAGATATTCCCTTTCAAATTGGAAATTCAACAATAAAATTCTTTACATTCAATGGCCAAAGGAAAAATCACAAAGAATATTGGAAAATATTTTGAGTAGAACATGTAAATACAATGTATCAAAATTTGGGGGATGCAGGCAAAGAGTGTTTAGAGGTTAAATTATGATTTTGAATAAATATATTAAAAAATAAGCAATGCTAAATATGATTTAAGCTTCTATTTTACAAAGTTAGTAAGAAGATAGCAAATTAAAGCCAAAGAGAATAAAAAAGGAAATAATAAAAACGAAAGCATGAAACAGAAAGCAGATGCACAATAGAGAAAAACAATAAACTAAAATTTTAATTATTTGAAAGGAATTCATAATATTCGTAACCTCCTAGAAAGGTGAATAAGAAATGAACAGAGAATAAAAAACTTACCAATGTCAAAAATTAAAAGGCCGGCCCCGTGGCTTAGCGGTTGAGTGCGTGCGCTCCGCTACTGGCGGCCCGGGTTTGGATCCCGGGCGCGCACCGACGCACCGCTTCTCCGACCATGCTGAGGCCAAGTCCCACGTACAGCAACTAGAAGGATCTGCAGCTATGACATACAACTATCTACTGGGGCTTTGGGGGAAAAATAAATAAATAAATAAGATTATCCTCCTTTAAAAAAAAAAAGAAAGAAAAAAAGTCGTGGCTATGAATCCTTTGGATTTTTAAAAGAGAAAAAGATGATATTATAAATAATTTTAATACAATAAATTTGACAACATACCTAAATAGACACATTCATTCAGAAAAAAATCTTACCAAAATGTCTTAAGAAAAAATGGAAAACAGAAGAATCTATATCTGTTAAAAATCTATAATTAAAAACCGTCTCTTAAAGAAAACTGCATGCCTGGCTGGTTCACTGCTGAATTCTTCCAAATCTTCAAAACAGAAAAATACCATCTTTTGTACACTCTTACGGAAAATATAAGATGGAGAAGGACTCTCCAAATCATTTTATGAGGGCGATATAACCCAAACCAAAAACTTAACAAGGATATTGTAAGAAAAGGAAAGTAGAGGACGATATTTCTCATGAATATAGATTAAAAATTCTAGTCTGGTTTCTGGTGCCTCACGTAAGGAGTTTGGAAGTCACCAGTATGTCATAATAATGAATATATGATGAACAGACTGAAAAATCTACGACTCTTCTTGGATCCATAAGAGAGGGGAGGAGACAGGGAAAACCACTTGTCCCAAGATTGGAGAGAAAGACAGGTAAATACAGGGAGTTGCGGCTTACCAGAGCAGACTCAGGAGCAGAAAACACTACAGGAACCAGTCTCAGGATAGAAAAACATGAACTGTAATTGACAAATAGCTGGAAGCTCTCTGCGGACAACTCCGAGAGTTAAAAACTCCAAGGGGACCCAGCCATAGGAGAGTCCCCACAATATTGTGAGATTTACCTCCAGGAGCTTGACTAGATTCCCACAGCAAATACTGGAAAAAATGCCCTCCGGCATTTTTCTGGCAAGGAGTAGTGGGGAGGAACCATTTTGAAATATGCCAAAGCACTCTTCTTCTTAATGAGGCCTACCCTCACGGGAAACTAGTTAACCAGAGCCTAACCTGCTGGGGTATTATCAGAGCCTCACTGACCTGAGGAAAGGGAAAAACCCAACTCCAGCCCACTATAGCAAACCTCTCCTACCAAAGCGGGGAGCAAAAACATGAGACACATTTTGAAGTTCACAGTCCAGAGGCATAGGCTCACTAAAAGACTGAGACCCAATCATAGGACTGTAGAATGCTTCCCCTCCCCTACACCTCACACGATACTAAAGGCCTAAATTATTTACAGAAGTTCCTATTGCCTGGTACATCATGTCTGGCAGTCAAGAAGAACTTACAGGGCATATCAAAAGGAAAAAAAAACAATTTTGAAGAGATAGAGCAAGCATCAGAACAGGAATATTGGAATGATCAGACTGGGACTTGAAAGCAATTATGATTAACATGCTAAGGACTCTAATGGATAAAGTAGACAGCACACAAGAATAGATGGCAATGTAAGCAGAGAGGTGGAAATGCTGAGAAAGAATCAAAAAGAAATGCATGAGATCAAAAACACTAAAATAGATGAAGAAGGCCATTGATGGACCATTAGTAGACTGGATACAGCTAAGGAAAGACTCTCTAAGCTAGGAGAGATATCAATAGAATTTTCAAAAACCAAAAAGCAAAGAAACCAAAGACTTGAATAAACAGCACAGAATATCCAAGGACTGTGGAACAACTACACAAGGTGTAACATACATGCAATGGGAATACCAGAAAGGAGAAAGAGAGAAAGGAACAGAAAGAAATATTTGAAATAAAAATGACTGAGAATTTCCCCAAATTAGTCTCAGCCACCAATCCACAGATCCAAGAAGCTCAGAGAAGACCAATCAGATTAAATGCCAAAAAAACCACCAGGCATATCATTTTCAAATTATAGGAAATCAAAGATAAAGAAAAAAATCCTAAAAGAAGCCAGAGGAGAAAACACCTTTCCTATAGAGGAACAAAGAAAAGATTTATATCTGACTACTCCTCAGAAAACATATAAGCAAGAGAGAGTGGAGTGAAATCTTTAAAGTTTTGACAGAAATAAACCGTTCCAAATAGAAGTCGATAGTGTGTGATATTATCCTTCGAGACTCAAGGAGAATTAAAGACTTTCTCAGGCAAACAAAAATTGAGAAAATTTTTTGCCACTAGTCCCACCTTGCAAGAAATGTAAAAGAAGTTCTTTAGAGAAAAGAAAAATAATATAGATCACAAAACCCAAATTTACATAAAAGAAGAGTTTCAAAGAAGGAACAAATGAAGGTAAAAGAAAACCTTTTATTTTTATTATTCTTAATTAATCTAATAGATGGCAGTTTATTCAAAATAATAATAGAAACAATGTATTTCATGTTGTATGTTTATGTACATATCTTATGCATATATAGATATCTCATGCATATATATATGTATACACTTATGTATACATATATATAAGTGAAATGAATGATAGCAATGATACAAGGGACAGGATGAAGGAATTATGATTATTTGATATTCAATAATTAGGATTATTTTGTTATTATAAGATATACTACCTGTGAAGAGGTATAGTGTTACTTGAAAGTGGACTTGGGTTAGCTACAAATGGAATGGATATTACACACTCTAGGATAACCACTAAAAAGGTATAAAAAGAAGTATAACTGATATGCTAAGGAAGGAGAGAACATGGAATCATATAAAATGCTCAATTAAGACACAAAAGGCAGAAAAAGAGTAGAAGATAAAAATAGAAAAAAGAAGGGCAACAAATAGAAAAGAGTAACAAATATGGTAGATATTAATACTACTATATCAATAATAACTTTGAATGTCAATGGTCTAAATGTGCCAATTGAAAGAGAGATTATCAGAGTGGATCAAAAAGGAAGACACAACTATATGTTGTCCACAAAAAGCCTACTTTATATGTACAGACATATATAGATTAAAAGTAAATGGTGGAGGAAAATGTACCATGCTGACATGAATCAAAAGAAAGTGGGAGTAGGTATATT